TATGGGCAAATAGTGAACACCTCACACCGGGGCAAAAAAATTGAAAGTATAGATTAAAAAAAAAAAAAAAATTACCAGCAATAGATTTTTTTCCAAGAAAAAAAAAAAATACTAGCAATATATTTTTGTAAAAAGAAATTGCCAAATCTTCCAAGAAAACTAAATTTCGGCATTAAATGATATCGTTTATCAAAGAAATTAATCAACCAATCGATCATGGTGTCTGACGAGATATCCTCATTCCGAAACATTTTATGACGTCATCTTTCGTCTTTATAATTCCTTAGATATTCTTTTGGTTAATCTATTTATAGCACAATAATTTTATTTGTAGTTTAAGGCAAACAATTGCGTTCAAAATATATTTAGCTGAAGCCATAAAATTGTGTTCAAAATATTTAGATTTCGGCATTAAATAACCCATAGCGGTGTTGATATGCCGCGAAACAATATTAACCAACCAAACAGCCAATATGAAGGAACTCTTTCATGACATTAATCCATTAATCTCCTACAATTTCTTAAAGAGATCAAGCTGTATTCCAAAAATGTAACTGCAACAAAACTACAACGTAAAACACACATATCACCGCCTCTAGTAATTATGTCCACACAAACATATATATACATAAAAGCTGAGTATTATCTACCATGTATTCAATTGTGAAAGCATAATAACATCATTTTTATTACTTCAAAGCTGTGAGAAAATTCACATTCCTCTCCGGTAATTTGAACAGGAGTAGTGGTTTATCCTTTGTTCCCTGTTTAGTTGTTTCACATTCATCATTTGTGCAAGCAGCCGGGTGGGTGAGGCACTGTGCATATATATTCATATCTGTTTATGAGTGGGAGTAGTTGGGGAAGAATTATAGCCGCGTGTCGACAAGTCTTAATGGTGAGGTAACTGGGAACACCCACAGCTGGAGACCGACTAAGGAGACTCGGTTAAACAAACTGAAAGAAGTTTTACCAGGGCCCCAGCTTCAGATTCATGCGCTGTTTTTTTTTTATGAGAACTTGTTACCATATCGCAGATATTTAGCTATTCTATCTGGTTTAATCTTATCAGAATGATGGGCATTGTCTATTTTTGTCCCAACGTCATTTTGTTGGCATGCAAATCTCTCAGACAATAAATAAAAAAAAAAAAGAAAAAATAGAAAAGTAACACGAGGGAGAGATGAGAAAAATCGTTAAAAGATGAATGGAAAAAGTCCATCATCATCCAATTCGTAAAAGAAACGTGCATAAGAAATCCAGACAAGAGACAAAAATAAAGAAGAATAAAAAAAGGGTAAGATGGAAAAGCGTAAACCAAAGACGTTTATATTCATAATCCCAATCGTAAAATTACGACCAGACAGGAACCATTTACTTTTACCCTAGTTTATTGTAACATTTGATACACTCTTCATTATTACTATTATTTTATTACTAGTTTTATTTAATCTTATTATTGTTGCTTTTTATCCCAATACTCTGGCTCTATACACTCTTCATTATTACTATTATTTTATTACTAGTTTTATTCCATCTTATTATTGTTGCTTTTTATCTCAACACTCTGGCTCTATACACTCTTCATTATTACTATTATTTTATTACTACTTTTATTTAATCTTATTATTGTTGCTTTTCGTCCCAACACTCTGGCTCTATACACTCTTCATTATTACTATTATTTTATTACTAGTTTTATTTAATCTTATTATTGTTGCTTTTTATCCCAATACTCTGGCTCTATACACTCTTCATTATTACTATTATTTTATTACTAGTTTTATTCCATCTTATTATTGTTGCTTTTTATCTCAACACTCTGGCTCTATACACTCTTCATTATTACTATTATTTTATTACTACTTTTATTTAATCTTATTATTGTTGCTTTTCGTCCCAATACTCTGGCTCTATACACTCTTCATTATTACTATTATTTTGTTACTAGGTTTATTCCATCTTATTTTTGTTACTTTTTATCTCAACACTCTCGCGTAACACATTCTTTATTAAAGTTTAGGAAATTTGATAAATGTCACAAAGACGCAAAATCTAAGAAATATCAATAGATATTGGCGAAGGTTTTTAAGAAGAGATTTTGTCCAAACTTCATGGGGAAAATATTAAATTCTATCAATAAACAAAGAAGGAAAGGAAAATGTTTTGAAGAAGAATTTTAAGAAGAATATTGGAAAGAAATCCACAAAGGAATAAAAAAAATTAAAAGAGGAAGGAATTAACGAAATAATGAAAGGACGAATGGTAGATGAAAGCTAGAATGTCAAAGACATTCAATGGTGCCATAATCAGAGAAGCCAGGATGAAGGCTAAAAAGAAGGAACAATGATATTTAAAGAAAGAAAGAAAGAAAGAAGACAGAGAGAGAGAGAGAGAGTAGCAAGATGAAATAGTGAGGGAGGTGGAAGTGAATAAAATATAAAACGTAATCAGAAGAAGGATAGATCGGGGAAAAGAAAGAAAGAAAGAAAGAAAGAAAGAAAGAAAGAAAGAAAGAAAGAAAGAAAGAATCGAGAGGAAGAAGTTAGAGAAAGAAGGAATGGTGAGAAGGCAAGGGGAATAAAATATAAAACCAAAACAAGAAAGTAAGAAAAGAAAGAAGAAGAGAGAGTAACAAGATGAAATAGTGAGGAAGGCAGGAAGGAATAAAAAAATAAAACAGAAGAAAGAAAGGGAGGCAAAAAGAAAGAAGAAAAGAAAGAAAGACAGAATAAATTTAAAGAATTGATGAATGCAAAGAGTTTTAGACGGAATTTAAGAAGAAATTTAGAAAATAACTCTGCAACAAAAACGCAAAGAAAGAAAGAAAGGAATAAAGAAAACAGAATTAAGAAATCTAAGGAGAGAAAGAAAGGAAAGCAAATTTAAAACAATAAAGAAAAAAGTAAAAGAAGAAAATATAACTTTTAGGGGAAAAAGAAAGAAAAAGAAATTATGAAATTTAAGGAAAAAAGAAGGAGAGAAAAAAGTAAAGAAAGTAAAACCCTTTAGACGAAGAAGTCTTAGAGGATAGGATGACGTTAACAAAGAAAGAAAGAAAGAAAGAAAGAAAGAAAGAAAGAAAGAAATAGTGACATTTAAGGATAGGATGACGTCAACAAAGAAAGAAAGAAAAAAAAAAGAAAGAAAGAAAGAAAGATAAATTGACATTTAAGGAAAGAAAAAAGAAAGAAATAAGTAATCATAAAAGATAAGGAAAGAAAGAAGGACAGAAAGAATTAAAGAAAGAACGTAAAACTCTTTAGACGAAGCAGGTTTAGAGGATAGGATGGCGTCAACAAAGAAAGAAAGGAAGAGAGAAAGAAAGAAAGATAGAAAGAAAGAAAAATTGACATTTAAGGAAAGAAAAAAGAAAGAAAAAAGTAATCATAAAAGATAAGGAAAGAAAGAAAGACAGAAAGAATTAAAGAAAGAAAGTAAAACTCTTTAGACGTAGAAGGCTTAGAGGATAGGATGGCGTCAACAAAGAAATAAATAAATAAAGTAAAATTCTTTAGACGAAGAAGCCTATACGTTTGGAAGGCAATAGAGAAAGAAAGAAAGAAATTAAGAAAGCAAGAATAAGGAATTAGAACATTTAAGAAAAAAAAAGAAAGAAAGAAAGAAAAAGAAATGATAAAATTTACAGAAAGAAAAAAAAGAAATGAAATTTAAGGAAAGAAAGAAAGAAAAACGTTTTGAAGACGTCTACAAAGATAGAAAGCAAAAAATTAAGAAAAGAAAGAAAGAAAGACAGAATGAAAGAGAGAAAGACAGAAAGAAAGAGAGAAAGAAAGAAAGAAAGAAAGAAAGAAAGAAAGAAAGAAAGAAAGAAAGAAAGGAAAAGGAAAAAAGACATTGTGATATTTAAGTAAAGAAAAAAGAAAAAGGAATTATAAAAGTTAAGGAAAGAACGAAAAAGAAATGACGGAAATAAAGAAGGAAAGAAAGATAGTAGAACTCTTTAGATGAAGAAGTTAAAGAAGCTGGGAAGAGGTCTATAAAGAAAGAAAGCAATAAATTAAGAAAGAAAGAAAGAAAGAAAGAAAAAAAGGAAAGGTTTTAGAGGAAGTTTAAGAAGATATTTGGGAAGAAAGCGATAGAAAAAACAAAAAAACAAAGATGAAACTGGTGAAGCTGACAAGGAAGGCAAAAATATAAATGAAAGAAATAAAAAGAACGAAAAAAATGAAAAATTGAATCCGAACGAAAGATAAGAGAAAAAAAAAAAAAGTTTGTAGTGTTGAAGAGTACAATGGTGGCGACAGCAACGAAGGAAGATCATTTCAAAAGACCCCGTAATTAACACTGCTTATTTTTAGGATGTCTATATTTTCAATATACGATTTAAGAGGCTAATTACAAAGGTTTGCCTCAAGAACCAGGAGTCAGTTTCTAGACGCCATGACTTCCACCGTTAATGAACGGCAAACGGTTTGAAAAAAAATAAAAAAATAAATAAATAAAATATAAAATTACAAAAGGAAACAAAGGAACCATTTATTAGAATGAAAACAGAAATATTAGAGAGAATAATTCTTTTTAATGTTCCCAGTTTAATTTTAACGAATTTTCTGTTTATTTAATTTCCCGCCATCGAATTCAAAAAATATGGCTTCAAGTTTTTCTTTAAATGTCGATGTTAGCAAAAGTTCCTTTGAACATACAGTGTTGTTTTTCAACGGAATTTTTGAGATGTCTGTTCAGAAGAATGTAGATAAACGGAAAATGAGTAAAATAAAAAATAAAAAAAAAAATATGTATTAACAGAACATAAGTGAAAAGAATAAAAATTAATCTATCGTATATGGCGAAGAATAAAGGTAATTGAAGCGAAGATAAAATGGTGTATTTTCGAAAGAACATCGACTGCTTGACAACTTTGCCTTCAGTAGAGTTGAAGCGAGATAAATAATTTGTGGAAGAGAAAAATAGCATCAGATGAAAAAGAAAAGAAAGGAAAAAGGAAATGGAGAGAAGATTTTGCGGCCGAGAACTGAATGAAGTTGGCTTTCTCACGGGGAAACATGACAGACGACACCAATCTATCTATCTATCTATCTATCTATCTATCTATCTATCTATCTATCTATCTATCTATCTATCTATCTATCTATCTATCTATCTATCTCAGCCTGTTCCTATCTATCTATCTATCTATCTATCTATCTATCTATCTATCTATCTTTTTGTGCTTTACCCAGTCTCTCTGTCGCACATACACGCGATCATTCTATCTATCTATCTATCTAGGTAGCTAGCTAGCTACCTAGATAGATAGAATGATAGCTAGCTAGCTAGATAGTTTATGTCTGGTAGTGTCTGTATCTGTATATAGATAAATAGATATGATTAGGCTGAGCTAGCCCAGACTATTCCTATATCTATCTATCTATCTATCTATCTATCTATCTATCTATCTATCTATCTATCTATCTATCTCATCAGGTCAAATTCACACGCGCGTGAACACACACACACACACACACACACACACACACACACACACACACACATATATATATATATATATATATATATGATAGGATAGAATAAGAAACAAGCAGGAAACGTTTATAAATTTCACATGTTTCTGTTTTATTTATGCTTCCCCAAAAATGAAATATGGAAAATTAAAGAACATTCTGTTATTTTTTTTTTGTATGTCTTTCATTTGTTAAGTAGACCTCGCGTCTATTTGTCTTGTCAGGCAGCGTTCGTGTATATAATTCTTGTGTATTTGTGCATGATACTTCTAACTGGTCTATGCCGGAGTTGAGTTTATGTGCCGGAGTTGAGTTTATGTGTCTAATTGACATTTTTGTGTCTATCTGGTAGCGTCCGTATGTTGACTGGTGGATGTTTTGCGTGGGAGTGAAGGAATTTAGGTCACATCAGTCGTGGCTGTAGTTAGACTGACCTTAGATTTTTTTTTTTTAAGTATGGTTTGGTTTGTTTTGTTTTACGGCATAACAACCTCAATGGATTATTTAATGCCGACAAGATTTTTATTGCTGGTAATATTTTTTTTCAAAAATGTATTGCTGGTATTTTTTTTCTTCAAAAATTTATTGCTGGTAATAAGTTTTTTTCATAGCTAACTATTTGCCCATAGCTGGGACTCTAATAGGCGCTACCACCCTGTGTCAGGGTGGTCCTGGGAACACCAGCAATTAAGAGGTGGTTCCACGCTCCTCAAAACTTCCTGATTTGAGGGCTTGCTGTTGGACGCAGTTTATCGTCTTACCCAGGACGCGGATGTAGTTTATAAACATACCAAGGACGATTTTAAGTATGGAATTAAAAAATTTGGTTTTATTATATATATATATATATATATATATATATATATATATATATATATATATATAATATAAATAATTATATATATGAAGAGCGTTGACTTCATGTTCACTTTATATATATATATATATATATATATATATATATATATATATAGATACACCTAATGAGCCAGACAAACCTACCTAGGTTTCACCTAAACGGATCGTCAGGGAAAGTCAAGCTCTACGGTTGTATTGAGCTCTTTTGTTAGTTAGTTGTTTACTCGTGTCGGGGTTTTTTCTTTGGGCTTCAGACCTGTATCTGTGCGATTTTTTGTCGACAGAAGTTCATGTTTGTAGCTCTTTCTTTTTTAAAACCTTTTTTTCCTCGAGATTGATTTGATTAGCAAATCAAAAAATCGAGGGTTTTTCGAAACGAGTCTATCTATCTATCTATCTATCTATCTATCTATCTATCTATCTATCTATATATATCGGATATATTATACAATGATGTATCTTTAATTATCCATTATGTTTCTATCTATCTATCTATCAATTCATCGGACTGTTCGTATCTATCGAAACGGATTATCTATCTAAAAATAAATAAATTTTATCTATCTATGGCGGTCATAAAATGTTGGACTGTTCATATATATATATATATATATATATATATCTATATATATATCTATCCCGTCTATCTATCTGAGGGGACTGTTCCCAGGAAATCGACATCCGACAACATCTATGAGATTTGATCTGAAGGTCTATCTCCAGCCACACTTTTTGAATTCCAGTCGAATCCATTACATTCACTTACGTCTAATAATCTGGGAAATCTATCTATCTATCTATCTATCTATCTATCTCGGACTGTTCATATATTGCCTGGGATGGCAACTGGTCTAGGAAAATCTATCTTTCAAACCGGACTGTTTGGGTATCTCTCTATCTATCTATCTATCTATCTATATATCTATCTATCTATCTCAAAAAAGATGAATCTATCTTTCATTTCTAACACAGATCTATCTATCTATCAAGATCTATCAAGAAAGGACTGTTCATGACAACTTTTGATCTATCTAGGCTAAATCTAAATCTATCTATCTATCTCGGACCTGGTTTTCAAAAAATGAAATTAATGATTTAAATTTCAAGGATCAGAGGATATCTATCTATCATTAAACCATCAAAAAATGAATCTATCTAAAATAACTGTTGGTAACAGATCTAAAAAGATGTTTTTATCTATTTTTAAACTTAAACATCTAAATCTATCTATCTCGGACTGTTCGAACTTAAATCTATCTATCAATTTTGCCATCCTATCTATAGAACCCAGTCTGTTCTCTATGTCTATCTATCTATCTATCTATCTATCTATCAAGGGTATTGTTCGGAATAATGGATTATCTGGAATTGAATCTATCTATCTATCTATCTATCTCGGACTGTTCGTATCTATCTATCTATCTATATATATATCTATATATATATATATATATATATCTATCTCGGACTGTTCAGATCAAATATCTATCGAAAATGACAGGATGATAAATAAAGAATCTATTTATTAATCTAATCTATCTCATTTTTTAACGCTTCGCAAAGTTTCTATAAAAATCTATCTATCTATTTATCTAATTTATCATATATATATATATATCTATCTCGTTTTGTTCGATTTTTAATTTATCTATCTATCTATTGATCTGGGAATTTATCTATCTTGTCGACATGAAAGAAAAAAGAAAAATATCTTAGTTTAAAGGAAATCTACATTATCCAGAAACATCTATCTATCTCTCTCTCTCTTTTAAAATCTGAATTTTTATATATATACAACGAAAATATATATATATTTATACCTTGAAAAATCCGAAGACGAAACGTGTCAGCAAAAACATAATTTTTTTTTTTTTTTTTTTTTATCCATTTCATGTTATATAATTTGTTTTTTTGAATTTAACTTTTATATGACAACAGAAGATATGCTATATTTTCTAAAGTGTTCAATATCAGGGATAGAATAAATATGAAACCTGGACATTGTAGAAACACCAGTGGGATTAGTTTAGGATTCAAAAAAATCTTCAGGCATGAAAGAAATAAATTTTCTCTCTCTTTTCATCTCGGTCATAAAATGTATATATATATATAAATATATATATATATATATATATATATATATATATATGAATATATACAAATATAAATATAGGTTAATGATTTAAATGGCGAGAATACATTCGCAAACAATTTCAATAAGATCCCAACCCGAATTCGACGAATGATATGATCCCTGTTTATAAATCAGTTGCATAAGGTCCCAGGAAACCGACAAGCCTCTGTTCCTACAGACATCATCAGGTATGGAAATAGATTTGTTTGATTTTCGTGGTGAGAGGTCAATCGTAGAGATGGACCGAAAAAGCTATGAGAAATGTGTTATTGTTTTGGAATTCCGGGTCGCAACGCTGAGTTTGAATTTAAAAAAGGTTGTGTTTTTTGTTTTGGAACTTAACCGTTAACCGTCAATGTGGTATGAACTATATTGTTCAATAATTACAGGAATGTCACACTTATTATCCGAAAGTTGGATCAGTTAGTATGGGAAGCCGTTGGCATAAACCAATGGCGTCTCTTATAAATTATAGGTATTTAAGAATATTTGTATATTTTTTGATTTTAGTTTATTTTCATATATATAGTTATATATATTATATATATTGTTGTATATATATATATATATATTTATATATTATATATATATATATATATATATATATATATATATATATATATATATATATATATATATATATATATATATATATATATATATATATATATATATATATATATATATATATATATATATATATATATATATATATATATATATATACTGACTACTAAAGAAACTATTATAGCATATCAGGGTGTATGAGTGTTCCATGTAGAATACAGGTTCGATTCCTGTTGGAGGACACATTTTTGGGAAAATTTCTCGGATGTTGTTTATTATAAACAGAGCATTTACTTAAATATTTATATCTATAAAAATAACGTATAACAACAAAATATATTAAATTGTCGGACATAATCCAATTTGTAATGTGTGAGGTCATATATATATATATATATGTGTGTGTGTGTGTATGTAAATTAAAAATTGTTGGCAAAATATACCCAATATATATATCGCTCGCTCGACGTATGAGGGTTAAGCAAATCGGTTCCCAGGAAACCGACAACAGCACATGACATTTCATTATAGTGGTAAAGGTTTCATGCAGGACCATCCACACTTTTTGATGGGTCGAATAGAGACATAGTTCCACAATGTCCCCAAACGAACCTCAGCAGGTTTTGAATTCAGAGTCGTCCTTTTTCAAGCCATAGCCATCCAAGGCTATATATAGGCCCAGGCAGTCCTGCTATTTAGCTGGAGGGAGAAGAAGAGTATTCATACCTTTTCCAAGGGTATTAGCACGTAAGTGAACGTAATGGATTCGACTGGAATTTGAACTCGGCTCTCCGATTCCTCAATCGGAGCCGATACCCATTACTCCTCCTATATATATATTGGGTATATTTTGCCAACACTTTTTAATTTATGCCGTTTTGACTGAAAAACAACAAAAGTTCTTTGTTTTAAAATTTTTTTTTTAATTTTTCTACGATTCAGCCCGTTTTTTCACTCTTAGAAAACGAAATCATATGTGCTGGTGTCTGGCTGTCGGTTCGTAGGAACTGAGCTGCTTGACCCTCGTACATCGAATACGACAGGAGAGCCATATATATATATATATATATATATATATATATATATATATATATATATATGGGTTTATTTTGGCAAAACTTCATAATTTATGCCGTTTTAGCTGAAAAACAACGAAAGTTTTTGTTTTAAGATTTTTAAAAAATTTTCTGCGATTCAGCCTGTTTTTTTCCTCTTAGAAAACAGGCACCCTGAACCAATAATTGATCCCCTTTACGAGTAACAGTTTAATTGTCCAAAATCGTGTTACATCATATCTGTCCATCCTACAGAATGTTTAATATCTAAAAATTTACTGAGTTTCTTTTTTTCCAGGTTTTTTTAAAGAAGCCGTTTGTCCATCTTGTCAACATTTGTCGTAAGAATCAGTGAAAAATCCTTTGAAATATTCAGCTAGAAAGAGAACAGTTTAAAAAGTTTTCTCTCGACCCCACTATCTTTGCATTTGAGCAATGGTGCGAGAAAAAATCATTCAGGCCTTCAGTACTGGTACTCACATTCATACTCTGGCTTCCATCTTCAAACTTCACTCAAGAACCATCAAGAGAACGGTAAATAATTTTGAAAAAAGGGAATAGTCCAGGGGAAAACTGGATCAGGAGGTCACAACAGGAAGAGGGATCATCATTTCAACTTAGAGCTAAAGAGATCAATTAGAAAAGATCCAACTCAATTTATAAGATGTTTGGCACGTGAGAGAGGAGTTTCAGTTATGACAATCCAAAGGGAAGTGAACAAAAATTGAAAATGAAATCGTACGTGAAACTTGTGAGCCACTTCGTTACTCCAGGACAGAATGTTAGAATGTTAGAGAGGGTTGACTAAGTTGGCAAATGATCTTGAATATATATATATATATATATATATTTGAACTTAATTCCAATCTTTCATGGGCTTTCGATCCTTAGCTATGATTAATTAATGATGAACATGTCATTTTCGTTTATGATCGATTTCATCACGATTCTTCTGTTAAGCTTGTAAAGTAATTATTCATTCTTACTGCTCAAATTAGATTCTAATAGCGTTATAAAAACCTCGGATAATTCCAGTAGGATATCTTTAATCATTTCCAAGATACAACGGTTCATGGCTTAATCTAACGAATGCCCAAATTTGCTGTTACACATATACGTGACATCTGTCCTTCTTTACGGCAGCGAATGCTGGATGATTTCCTCAAAGATGAAGAAGGGACTCGAGGCGACAGAGATGTGGTTCTACAGAAGGATGCTATGGATATAGACCGAGAGAGTGAGCACCGAGGAGATCTTAAAGAGGATGCAAACAAGGAGGAGGCTTATACTTAATATCAGGAAGAGGTAGCTGAAGTTTCTGAGACACATAACGAGGAAGGAAGGCCTGGAGAATCTGATACTTACGGGTCGAATAGCGGGAAAGAGAGACAAGGGAAAACAACGCATGACATACCTAGTGGGCATAACTTAGCGGATGACAGAACCTGGTCTGGGGGAGATAACAGAGGGGAGGAACTTGTTGAGAGCTGCAAGGAATAGTGAAAGGTGGAGAGCCATGATCGCCTACGTCCTGAAAGGACATGGCACATAAAAAGAAAGAAAAGCATCTTTATTCAAACATGTTACATTGAATAATAAAGATATTATTATAAAGATAATATTTTTATGCTAATCCTTTCCATTTCCCTAATCAGTTTCTTGGGGATAAAATTCGACCAGGAAGTCGCTGTACGCACTTGTGTTAGAGAAAACTATGTCTCCTTCCTTGAAATTCATATCAACATCAAGAAGTTGATTAGAGAATTGGAAAGGATCCGTATGAAAATACCTATATAATTGAATGAACCATATACCCAGGATGCGATAGTTAAGCTGTCATCTAAATTACACAACTATGAAAATAAAAATGCCATCTCATTTTAACAGATATATTTACCAAAATTACAAAAAAATATCCTGAAATACTATAGAGTTTATTTATTCAATAAATTCGCCATTGATTCAAACAGATATATTTACCAAAATTACACAAAGATAACTTGAAATATTATAGGGTTTATTTATTCAATAAAATCGCCATTGATTTTAAACAGATATATTTACCAAAATTACACAAAAATATCTTGAAATACTATAGAGTTTATTTATTCAATAAAATCGCCATTGATTTTAAACAGATATATTTACCAAAATTACACAAAAATATCTTGAAATACTAAAGAGTAAATAAATTCAATAAAACCACCGTTAGCCTCAACCATGACCTCCAGACGACTTCGGAATCTCCTGCATTTTCTTT